TGAAGTTAACTTTGGGTGAGTTCGGAAGGTCATGCAGAAAGAAAGAGAAAAGAAATGGAGAAAGTACTGCACCTTGAGGCACACCACTTTCAGTTAGCTGGGAAGTGGAGCGCTTTCCAGCCAAAACAGTATGCTGTTTCCTATCCTTAAAATAAGAAGACAGCCATCTAGTTGCCCAATAATACATATAATGGTTTGGTATCTTGGTATCACCTCTATCTTCTCTGTGTTCACTTGAGGTTCTGTCTTCGTCTTTGGCCTCTCCTGCTTATAATTCCTTTTTTATCTGTAGATTTTTGAGTTTGTGTGTAACATTAAACAAAAGTCATCGGTGAAGTTCGGGGGTCTTCTAGAGTCCTCTTGTTCATCAAACTTCTGCTTGGCTTTCCACTCTCTATAGTCTTCCTCATGATTCAGTCCACTCCTATCTTCATCCCACCAAAGATGTTGTTGAGTTCTCCATTGTGGATTTCTAGGCATGTGGTATTGTCGTATAGATCTGTTGAATTAGGTTGATTGATGATTAAGATTTCGGGGCACTCTTTAGAGTATTGAAGCAGTTGCCGAATTACTTTACGGTCAACTCTTTTTCGAAGGCTTTTTCACAACCGGTTGCTGCAACCTATACTGAATGGTTGTTAGTTGCTGTGTGAGACATTTTACCATTTTTGATGTCATCAGGTGGCTGAAAAATAAGCGACACTTTTAATATATAACTGTGATGGCTAGACCCACATAGAGCTTTGCACATAACTACAGTTCAAGATGATAAAATTGGAAATCAATATAAATTAATATCATAGTGGACAAACATATAAGGACTTTGAGATGATATAGAGATTATTTCTTATTCTTGAAGTTCTGGTGAGCATATTTATGCATGAATCTTAAAGAATAAACGGCGTCTATAACTCCGGAAGTGATGTTCAATCACCTAACTTGATGATTTTACACTCATTGAATCGTAACATATCCTGTGAACCCCAACCAGGAAAGTCATACTCTTCCACTAATTGATAAACTTAACAGTTAATAACTCCACAAACTGATGTTTTTGATTTTAACTTAACTACCTCTAACTTATTTAATTGAATTTTAGATTTTCCCTTCGATTGGTTGGACTGAAGTGCCCGGTTTCAGGTTGACATGTTGGCTTCTTGTGCAGATGCTTAGATGATGTCTGGGCATGTAATTAGACCGAGCACTTCGGTCCATTCAGTCGATGGGAAAATCTAAAATTCAATTAAATAGTTCATATGACCCGTTGCACAAATGGTGGCTCTCGTAACCCAAGTGGTCTAGTGGATAACGCTTTGGGGTTTGAAACTATGGGTACTGGGTTCGAGCCTCGGTGGGAACATCATCACTCACTGCTGAATGCAGGTACATCCAGCTGACGAGTCCCAAATAGGACTAAAAGCACACCCTGGATTCCACTGCTAGTCACCATCCACCAATACCCTTAACTTATTTCAAATTTAATTCAACGCCAGGTAACATGTATCTTTTGAGAAGGTGATGGATGACTTGACATTCATAACGTATTGTCCAGTCATCTTAGTCAGTGACTCTTAACAACTTCCATTGGCTGTTTTGAGTCTTACACTCTATATCTACTCTTAATATTATGTACCGTGTTGTTATCGATAAATTCGTCCAGTAGTCTACGAGTCGGGCTTAAGCCTGTAAAATGAGGGATGGTTGTTGAGCGTGAGGCTAACAATCCTACCCTGAAAAAGCCACCAAATCAATATAGAGAAACTTCAAAGCACAGAAAAAAGACAGTCACAAGAACTTAACTTATTCTTTTTGCTGGAGTTGGAGAGACAAAGTGACGCAGGGTAGTGAAAGCCAGTCAAGCGATGATATGTCTTCTCCTAATGAAAGCAAAAAAGGGCAAGCATAGAAACGTGCAATATCCAGAGGATGTTCGAAGCCGGGGTATAGAAGTGGTAAGAATCTCTGGTGAGAGGAGACGTTGAGTGATATCATACGCTGGCAAACAGTCTCCTCTGGAGTAGAATCCGATCGGGGAATGATGATTTGAGCACCAATTTGAAGATGACATGGTGGATATCGTGTGAGTATGAATGGAAGTTTTTGAGCAGTTGTGTAGTGAATAGGACGAAGTGGAGATGCGCTGTTGTGAAGCCCTTTTGTTCCACTCGGAACCCAAAGGTCATGTTTCACAGTCATAATATAACAGTTAATTACTTGAAACATCAATAAATGAACCAGTCAGGTTGGGTTTTCAAATGACTTAAAGCACTGAAGTGTAACACCTTTTGATCCTTTGATTGGACATTAGTAACTATCTGGTGTGATGTGCCTAGTCGTTTTCTTTGATGCAGACTGAATTCTATCAGTCAGCCAGGTTTGCAATATGGCTACCATGCCACTAGATAGCTTGCCATCATGGTGCACATTGATTTGATGATATTAGATGGTTGAGGACAATCGAACCCAGCAGGAAGTCCGCTTTGACCTAGGTTGTGTCTGTCTGTCTGGATTCAACATAGAACTTGGAACCGAAGTGCAGAAGTTCCAATTGCCACGTTCCAAATAGCACACAGAGGTAGACAAGAAGATGAGTGAAGAGAATTAGTAGAGTTTGACAAGTATAAGAGTGAAACAGAATGGGTAATGGTAGAAAGGAATATGAAAGATTACAGAGACTGAATACATCTGCGCTGGCCATTGACAACGATTTTGAGCCATGTCACCTATTGTCTCCAGCCATTGATTCCTAGAGTCCCGAGGGCCCCAACCCGGAAGTCTGCATCTCCCTCCCTACCTGACTCAGTTTAACTGTCAAGGATTTCATGGATTGATGAGGCCATGTTTTTGTTTGGCCACCACCTACTCTTTTCCAACCTGCACCTATATCAGCTAGCAGTGCCCGTCAGGGGAGGCGATGGTTAGGCATGCGCACCACGTGACCTAGCCATCTTAGTCTATGTAACTTTATAGCCTCGTCGATTGATTTTCCCTCTTTGCCCAACACTCTACGCCCAACGTCAACATTACTTACCTTATTAAACCACCTAACGTGAGAAAGAGATCGCAGACATCTATGATCGAAAGCAGTCAACCTTTTCATGTCTTCAACTCTCAACTCGTATTGGCCATATTTCAGAGCCATAGAGAAGGACGGAGCGAACTGCTGAACAGTACACACGTCCCTTGGTTGATAACCGGATGTCACGCCTACGCCAGAGATGGTGTAAGTCAGCGAAATCAGCTCGAGCTTTTCGGATCCTTGCTGAGATTTCGTCGCCAATCAGTCCGTTGGTGCTGAGACAACTTCCCAAATAGGTGAAGTGGTGGTGAACATGTTCTATCACTTCACTCCCTATCACTAAGTTAGGGGTTGACGTGGTCCAGTCCTGCAGCAGCATCTTACATTTTGTAGGAGCGAATCGCATGCTAAACATGCGAAGATTGCTGCCCAAAGTGTTCAGAAGACTGTGCATTTTGTCAGCATCCTCCCCTAGCAGGACTAGGTTGCGTGCTCACATTGTCACTCACCAGTAAGTAAGTCAGCAAGGTGTGTGTGCAGCCTTTTGATACTTTGTAAGTTTTTTGATGTGGTTGTGTTCTCTGAGCTTGATAGTTGATTTGCAATGTTTTCATCGCCCTACTAGGTGACATCTTTAATCTGAAGTGAGCTTTTAGATTTCTCCACAAGTTTATTAATCACCTCTCCTGGTGGGCGACCTTGGACGTGATTGGTTGTTTTTGTTTGTTTTCACACCTTATGGGTTATTTGTATTGGAACTGATTGTTTCTTTGACTTGAACTTTCAACCATTGTGTGTGAGGTCTCTTTCTTATCGGTTGATAAATTTAGTCTATCTCGATGTGTCTATTGATTGATGATTCATTGGAATACAGGCCAACCTATCAAACGAAAGGCCCTCAAAGAAAGCACAAAGAAAATCTTGTAGTGATTTCAGAAAGAAGATGAAGCCAACATCATCTACAAAATAAATTGTAACAACTTCAAAAAACACTACATTGGCCAAAGTGGACGTCCCTTCGTCTTCGTATCCACGAACATAAGCTAGCCGTCAAAAGACATAATATCCACTCCATCACTCATATCACTACATACAAACAGCCACGAACATCAATTCGACTATGACAACCTACGTTCAAATATTAGACAGGGAACAAGAATAATGCTGGGGAATTTTTAGAGGGCTGCCTGGTATTCCAGTGAATCATCAATCAATAGACACATCGAGATAGACTAAATTTATCAACCGATAAGAAGAGACCTCACACACAATGGTTGAAAGTTCAAGTCAAAGAAACAATCAGTTCCAATACAAGTAACCTATAAGGTGTGAAAACAAACAAAAACAACCAATCACGTCCAAGGTCGCCCACCAGGAGAGGTGATTAATAAACTTGTGGAGAAATCTAACTGCTCACTTCAGATTATAGTGTGCACTGAAGATGTTGCCTAGAAGGGGGCAATGAAAGGCTCGCAAATAAACTATCCAACTAGCTCAGAGAACACAACCATATTAAAATCATTCAAGTGTTGGTTTGTAGGGATTTGATTGGTTTCAGGATTTCATCATGAACTGACATTAGTTAGGGAACTATTGGAAAACCTTGGAGTACTGGACTGCTTTTTCGTCCTAGTTCGGGACTCTTCAGCTGTACGCTTCCACTGGGATTCGAACCCAGGACCTTCTGGTTACAAGGCTAGCGAGCTAGCTCGTATACCATTAAGCCACTGGGACCCGATCCAATGGTTCTTGGATTCTAACTTGTGCCAATTCACGACATAGCGCGACCGCTAGCCAATGTCTTCGGCGAGTATTTGTCGTCACCTGAGCTACAAATCTTATCTGTCATATCTATACTTTCTAAGTATTTGCTTGACTTTTTTTCCTTAAGTCTCTCTTTCCTTTTCTGTGTGAATGAAACTCTAATGCCTTTTTCTTCCTTCCCCCACCAATCTGTGTATTTTATAGACCAGTAGACGTCATGTTATCATCCAAAGAATTTGTGCCAAAGTCAACTAGTCAAAATTCTCTGACAAAATCTCAACCATTCAATGCATCAACAAGTGCTCGTGAATTATGGGAGACTGAAAATAATATAGAGTCAATTTTAGGCCCAGTTGATGAATACTTCAAGTATGATGTCAAAGTTCATCAATCCATTGTTAATGCTAAACCATGGGAAAAAGATCCGCATTATTTTAAATCGATTAAAATATCAGCTGTTGCTTTGTTGAAAATGTTAATCCATGCACGATCTGGTGGTAATTTAGAGGTGAGTTATTACCATTATAATTTTAACTATGATTATTATGTCACACGCCAGGAGGGGTTATATAAACCTCTTGAAATGCTCCCATATGACCGGGCGTCTTACGTAGCCTCTCCTGAGGAAGTCCTACTCACTGCCTTCACGTGGCGGAGGTGTTTCTCACCGAAGTGAGAGGGCGAAAGCGGATGCCCGGCGCTCTTCACCGGGTTGACTGTCCATTGGATGACAGTCTAGGGGAGATGGCTAAACCCTGATTCCAAACCTCCAACAACTGGCGTATGAAGCTCACCAGAGCTCACCGACAGACGTATGGACAAAGGGCTTATTGGATGCCCTGGATGTCTGGCCCCATTCTAAAAGGCGTATGAACCGGACTCCGGTCACCGGCTGCCAATGGATAGTGGACTCCCTACTCCACTCCTACTGCCTTGTAGGTCACACTTGGTTGTGTAAAGGCTAGAGCTGTACTCTCAAACAAAAGGCCGAGCGATGCTGGGGACATCACTCGTACCCAATTCCCATGAAACTTCATGGTTCGTGAAGCCGGCTCATCCTCCCGTAGGAGATAGCCGAAGTAAAGTAAGTAAGTAAGTTATATATTCACCTCACCTCTAAAGTTTATAAAAAATTTCCAATGTAACATATAGAAAAGCAAAACAAGTGATGATTCAACGAAGAGACTCTTTTCAATAGCGAATTTATTAACGATCTGTACAATCGTATATATATATATATGGTTTTTAAGGAATTATATTCAGTGAGGGAATGGAGTCATAGATGTGAATGCATAGCTGTATGTAATACAATTAAAATGTTTGTGATTATTATTATTATTGTTTACTACTACGTGGTGCTGCCGACAATTATGGATCTCATTCAACAGTTGTACAACAACGCTGCATGCCAAGTAATTTACAACGGGGAACTTACGGAATCCTTTGAAGTAAAGACGTGAGTAAGACAGGCTGGCTGTCTACTATCGCCAATGATCTTCCTGATTGCAGTATATTGGATAAGACGCGACAGACCACGGTGGGCACTGAGGAAACAAGCATAAAATGCACTCACACAAAAAGAGACTTGGAGGATCTGGACTTCGCCCGTGATGATATATGTCTGATTTCACACAAACTGGAAGATATGCAAGTGAAAAGCAACAAGTGGACAGTGGAAGAAGCATCAAACATACGACTACAGGTGAACATAGATAAAACGGAGGTGATGAAGATTCCTGGCCAACACCAACAGCAACAAAAGACAACAATCAGCCAGCGTAAATGGGAGGAACCTTAAAGAAACAACCTCTTTTACCTACCAACCTGGGAAGCATCGTTTCAACTACAGGTGGACAAAACTGACGAGGATATCAAAGCAAGACAAGCTTTTATTACTCTCAAGTCTGTGTGGAGGTCAACAGCACTCAGCAGGTAAATGAAAATAAGATCCAGATTTTCAACCTCAATTTGAAGTCAGTGCTACTTACTGTATGGATCAGAGACTTGGCGCGTCATAAAGAGCACTTCATACAAACTACAGACCTTCATCAACAGTTGTCTTCGCCCAATACTCAAGATCAGATGGCCGGCCAGAAAAGATCAGCAATAGTGAGGGATCTCTGGCAATGAGCGAACCAACCAGGAACCGATTGTGCAACAAATATACAGGAAGAAATGGAGGTGGATTCGATTGGCCACACCCTGAGGAAACCATCAAGTGGCATCCCAAGACAAGCCCTGGAGTGGAACCCGAAAGGGTAGCAGCGAGTTGGTCGTCAGTCCGAGGGTGACATGGATGACGACACATAAAGAGTAGATGAAAGCATGTGGGCGAACTTAGAGCCAGGTGAAAACTCTAGCAGAGAACCGAATGCAATGGAGATGCGGGACTGCAGCCTCATATTCCTCTAGGAATTAAAGGAAATAATAATATAATATATTAATTAATTCCTGGAGGAATATAGGGCTTCGGCCGCACATCTCCATTATGTTCGGTTCTCTGCCGACGTTTTCACCTGGCTCCACGTCTGCCCACATACTGTCATCTCCTCTTCATGTGTCCTCATCCATGTCACCCTCGGAATGACGACCAACTCGCCTTTCCCATTTGGGTTACACTCGACCAATGACCTGGTGTGTTATGTCACTCACTTTATGGTTTGTTTTCCCAGAGTATGGCCAGTCAATCCACCTCCGTTTCTTCCTGCATATTGTTGATTATAACCATAGTTAAATGTTAAGTGGCAAAAGAATGTCATATATAGAATAATTCATAGGATGTATAGAACTTGGAAGGGATGTGCAATTATAGGATTAGTAGGCAAACAGGATAGAGATAAGAACGTTACTCAACATTGTATGAAATTCGATCACATGGAATTTAACGTTGCAAACCAAAATTGATTTGGAATGAGAAGTGGAACGAGTGAAAAAATACCGAGGACAATTCAAAGTGAGAATAGTAATAGTAGTAACAGTTGACGTATTAAAGGAGGAGTGTACAAACTGAATAATCAAAATGGAAATTAAGTAGAGACAACATATGATTAGGGATTATCATACTTTAGCATAGAGTGTTTAAGACCATGAGGGTTGGAGGGGTTGTGCAAACGTTTTCTGTATACAAAGATTTGGCTTTTTCTGTTTTGATGGCCAAAGCTTTGGTAGTACAGATGAGTTGGATACATAGTGATTTGGGCAAATTACCTTTTTGTCTTGTAGATGACTTTGAAGGCAGAGGTTATAGATACAGGGTGATCATTATCAACCAGATGTTCAATGATCGCGCTTCTTATTGCACCATTTCCACCTTTTCGTAACCATGCAGGATGGTGTTTTTTCACCCTCCTGAGCAAAACTCGAGTCGAACGACCGATATACTTAGCTCCACACGAACAAGTGAATTGATAAACGTACATAGAGTTGGTCAGCTGCAGGATCTTGTCCTTCATGTTATTGAACAGTGATGGTGAAGGTTATTCTCAAAGATGCACCAGGGGATGAACATTCTTTTCAGGGACTTTGAGACCGTTCTTTTCGTGATATCGAAACCTAAGTCACCTTTGAATTCCAAGCTCATGTACAGTATATCCTTGGGTACGGATCACATTTCATAAGATTTGACTGTATATTCCTGTCTATAAAACGTGGTGGAAATACATTTTCTGTTAGGATTTTTCTCAAAAGATTCACATCTATGATTCAGTTCCCTCACCGGATGTAATTTCTTGAAAACCTGTTAAGTTGTCACACGTATTAGCTGAAATGCTCGGTTTTAACCGATGATGCTTAATTTCGAATACTTTTTCAATTAATTTTACTTGGACAACCAAGAATTATGATGTTTTTTGTTTTAATTATGATAGTATTATGCATTCCTTACATTCTGAATAGGATATCGTTATAACCTCAGCGATACATCTTCACTTCACGAATGCATAGAAGCTTTCATCTTCTTCCCACATAATCTCCTGTCATCCTCGAAAGTTCAACTCGTTATTTCCAATTCTGGGACGACTCCGAGACATGCTGATAGGTTCTGTCACTTGAAGGGTCACGACTGATAACTGCTACCTTGACGTGCTGGTCGCCAGGTTTGCATGTGGCAATGACCCAACAAGTTACACTGGATGTAACTATTGTAGGTCCTTCCATGTCAGGAAGATTTTTAGGATAGCGTTTAGACTAAAATCAGTTACTGGCTAAGTGTAAGAATTTCCTTTTTACACTATCCTGGGGGTCTGTGGGCGAAGTTGTACTGCTGGGGAACAGGGATGTAACAGCAGTAAGGTGTTCCCCTCAGATGAACAACATACTAGCTATGCTGTTTTTCTGCTCTGGAGGGAAGGATTTAGAAAAGGTCGACCCTAGAAATTGTACATCCCGACTTATCCGTAACCGGCGATAAGTTACTCATACGGAACCAATCCAAGAAACCAATTTAATGCAGGCCTCAAGCAGTTATCCCCTGGGCTCTGCAGTCACGCACTGCTAATTTATCTTCTCTTTCAGGTACCCGAAGAAAAAATCAACTTCCACAGTGTTGGCAGCCGGGAAGTAACAACCCACACACGCACACTTCCAAAAGCACTTCCTTTCACTTGAAGGGTCTTTTCACCGTATTTTCAATCCATCTATAGTTCCTACTGCCCAGTACGTAGCCAGAGTTTTTTGTTGCTAACCCTTTCTTCTTGGCTATCTGATCTTCAGCATGGAGTCAAGGGGACAGTTGTTTGTTGATAAAAGTCTACAGGACAATTCGAAATACTTCCTATGATACGCCTAGTTTCTGAACCATGTGATATTACTGACTGACTTGTCACTAGTCTTCAAGATTGGAATCCTGTTCCTTATGCTGAGTACAGTAGATTTCCACACTGAATGTCTGTCTTGCTTTTCTCAATCCTGTCTCTAACATCCTTATCAGCGCTGCTTGCCTTATAGAACTTAGTGCGTATCATTACTAAGCACCAGACATTTAACACTGGTTATTGTGCATTGACGTATTAATTTAAACACTATAATCCTACAGAATGTCAACCCCAAGATTTCATTGGTAGCGTTGTCCCAGGTTATGGCATTCACACAATAAGTGTGGTTCTTATCCCGGTACTAGATAGACAGTTATTCAGAGATCCGTTCTGTTCTGTTCTCCTGTCTTTTGGTTACCTATTTCATCAGTGTGCTTTCAGTAACATTTATTAAACCATGGAACCCCACCTTATTGATTAAGTTACTCAGCTTCAAACACAATAACTGACAGTACGTTTTAGCCGCAATACTCTGGTAATCACACGGGGATTAGCTTGACCAATTCGGTGTCTAGAGTTCTAGGCTCAATAAACCATGTATAAACTGAGCAGTGCTCAGGAGAAACAAACACGAAAGAACTGAGCAGGTTTTAGACCATGAAGAGGTTTTATCAATTATATCTTCACCCTTCGACAAATTCTAGAGCATAGGCATACCTACCGTCAGCGCGCAACAATCGTCATATTTCTTGACCTGAAAGCTGTATTCGATTCTGTCGACCAACAGGTATTGTGGCGATGTTTGGCTGTAAAGAGAATGACGATAAAATACATTTCACGAATTAAGGCACTCACTCTACTTGAACTCATGCAGCCAGATGAGAGCTTACGGCATGGGTTCGAACCTAGGGCCTTCCTGTTACACAAGGTGAGTTCGTGGAACACTCAACCACTGAGACCCAAGCAAATGGCCTGTCCATGAATTCCAAATTTCTCTCAAGTATTGGTTTGATGGGATTTGATTGGTTGGTTACAGGAATTCATGGATATTTCACCCTATCTTCTATCTGATTACTTAATGTCGAAAGTTTCCATTGTGTATGATCAATTTTGTTTGAGATAAAGTGTTTATTATTATTGTATGCGCATACTGATTGATTTTTGTTTAAAAATTACTCTGTGCAATTATGTTAAAATTGTTTCTGTGGATATATTTAATATTGACTTTGGCCTGTAAGCTTGCCTTGTGACCAGATGGTCATTTGTTCGAACCCCGGTGGGTGCGCGTACTGATAAAAAGTCCCGAACTAGTCTGACGAAACAGCTGTCCATTACTAACAGATGGTTTTCCAACTTTTATCTAACCGATGTCAGCTCATGATGAAATCCTGTAACTAATTCCAACTTCTGCAAATTCCAAAAGTACACGAAGCCTTCCTGAGCGTCATTCTCTTTTACTGACATTACCTTCCTCATCTTGCTTCTCTATTACAGTTAGTACTCTTCTGCAGGCTAGTGAGTCATTTTCACTTCACTCTATGACCACAGACAACGGTAAGAGCCATATAAACACTCTAGATAGCCTTTTAAAGCCACGTCGCTAACTTCACATAGGAGCATTTAACGTCAGGACCCTCTGCCAAATCGGACAGCAGGCATCACTAGCAAGAACTCTGGCATCTCGAGCCATGGATGTATGTGTCCGATGTTACGTGCTAAGCAATATTGAGGTTATGCGTCGAGTACTAGGTAAGAGGGGAAATCAATCGACGAGGCTACATCGACTGAGATGGTTAGGACATGTGTTACGTATGTCTAGTCATCGCCTTCCTCGACAGTGGGCAATGTTAGCTGACTTTAGGGTCAGGCTGGAAAAGAGCTAGCAGATGGCTTCATCAGTCAATGAAATCCACAACAGTTAGTTTAAGCCACGTAGACTTCCTGACTAGTTGGGGTCCTCGGGACGGTAAAAACTGATGACTGGAAACAATTAGTAATATGGCTGCAAATCGTTCTCAATGACTGGCGCAGATGCATCCACTCCCTGTGACTTATGATTTCCAATGAAACTATACTGTTCTTCGTTATTACTATTTCTTTGTCTCACACCTCTGTTTACTGTCTCTCTCTCTCTTCTCTTGCTTTGTGTGCTACATGAAGGGTGTGTGGCGACTTGAACCTCCGCACATTGGTGCAAAGTTGTATGCCGAAAACAGACAGATGATATATATAGCGCAGCTGTCAGTCAATGCCCTAGGCGAATAGCTGTTCTCCTACCTCACTTGCTAGATCCCACTGGTTACGACTTCTCACTAGAACTCCAGATAGCTTCCTGTATAGAGACAGACAGTCACTAGTAGTATGCTTATTTTTTTGGTTTCTTATTCTTCCTCAGGTTATGGGATTGCTCATCGGTAAAGTGGCTCATCAAACAATGATTGTTGTCGATAGTTCACCAGTGCCGGTTGAAGGGACAGAAACACGTGTAAATGCCCAGGTGAGTGATTTTGAGTTATATATATATATATAATATGTTAGTGTAGAAGCATTAACAAAGATACAATTATGAAAGTAAATGTTTGTTCGCTTAATTTATTCTTTTCTAAACTTTGCTGTCACTGTGTAAGATAAGTCCTTAAGTCATGGAGAAACGACAACAGAAATATGATTAGTGAACTGTTATTCATTATTATTATTATAACTATTACTGTTCCCTTGGGTTCCGAGTGGAAAATGGATCTTCAACAGCACGTCTCCACTTTGTCGTATCGTCTGATGTCCCGCCTCCCCCCCCCACAATTGGCTGCAGTCTCTGATCTCCTCTATTTAACCTTCAAACGCCCACTCGTTTCTCATCTGGGTTCCACTCGAGGTTATGCCTGGTGCACAATGTTATTCGACGGTCTCCTCAGCGTGCACCCAATCCACCTTCATTTTCTTCTACATATTTGTTGAACAATAGGTTATTGATTGGTTCGTTTTCAGAGTGTATTTTGTTGTTAATTCTTTCTGACCGATCATGTGATCTTCAGTATGGAGGCTAGCGAAAGCAGCTATTGATATAAGTCTGTATTATAAGTAGCCTGTTAGAAATGCTTTTCGTGATGCAAGCGCCACGTTTCTGACCCACATAGAAAAACTGACTGACTGCTTGAGTTTATTTTATTGTCTAACGGACGGTTTGTTTAAATAATATGGCGGTTATTTTAACTCCCATTTTTAATATTAGAACAAGACATATAAGCGAACAATATTATTGTTTTCAATTAGATATTCAGGCTTCAATCTAATTTACATAGATTTATATACAAAAATTTTAACCAATGACGGTGATTTTGTGGATCGAATGATAGTGATACTAATAATAATAATAATAATGTGGTAAATGTTTTGAACGTAGTTAATAACGATGATTGTAATGATAACAAAATGTTGATAATAAGGTTTATGCACATGGCGATAAGAATAACGAAGGTAGTAATATGTGTGTGTATATGTAGACAATTCACTAAATAAATTGCTAGGTCAAGTCTTAAAAGTTACATAATACTAAAGGTGAAGTGGACAGATAATCAGAGTTTAAATAAATATCATAAAAATACGAAGCAGATGGAAAATAAGGAAGGGTGGGAGGGTTTTGATTAGAATTCACCTAGGCAGGCAAGGGACAGACAAAGTTAGAACAAAATTCTTTTGTATGAAAAAACTACGATTGTTCTCTCGAATTAATCCCCATAGCTTCGGCTATGCGTAAAAGACGGATTCGAATTCCGTTCGAAAGGCTCGGTGGAATGCAATAGATAAATTTAAAGGCACTATTTCTGTCCACTTGGTGACCGCTATCATCAATCAAATGAGCCAAAATAGAACTTCTCATATATTTTATTTGACCTTTTCCAAACCATGAAGGAAAATGCTCATTAATGCGTTTGTTAAGCTGTCTAGCTGTTCACCCTATATAGCTCTCTCCACAGGAGCAACTAAATTTATAGATACACACAGATGTGGCACAGTTAGGTAGCTTGTCTTTCACTTGAGCAATTATAACTGTTTGGCTGGAAAATGACAAACAAAGGTTGGCGGCGGTATAAGTCCGTTTTATTGCTCTCGATAATCTCAGATGTAGGACTTCGCTAGCCACGTCCCCATTAAATTGCTATTTTAATTAACTCCTACAATTTTTCGTGTTCTTGCTTGCTTTTGCGTATAAGTTCTAGTTATTATTTACACTGTGTGAATTACTTGTTAATTCAACTACAACACTATATATTTGTTAACTGATTCAGATTAAATGAGAGTTTAATCACGAACTGACTTCAGTCATATAACCAGAGAGAGGGAGAGAGACTACTACTAGATGATTGTTTTTCATCCTCGTTTGAGACTCTGCAATAGCATGTGCCCATGACCCCCCACTAGGTATCGAATCCCGAACTATCAGGTTACAAGGCAACGTCGTTGACCATTTAGCCAGTATCTGGCTTATTCCCAACTTGGTGAACCTCGCGCTGATCACTACTTCTCACTAGGACTTCAGATAGCGTCATCCTGCTCACATGCTCTGATGAAGAATCCCGAATCGGGAGAAAACAGCTGTATCTAGCCAGCTTTTCTGGCTATCTGCTCTGAGATCAACTCCGAAGGTTGGCGTATTTCGACTTACCTTGCAATGTGGTCTGTAGGCAGCGGTAAAATCTTATTACGGACACAATTCGAATAGCCACCTTAAACAGGTTGTGTGTGTGTGTGTGTGTGACCAGCATCAAACAGTTGTTCCCTGGGCTCCTCAGTTACGGAACACTTAATCTCCTTCTTTTCAGGTATTCCAAGAAGAAATCAACTTCCACAGTGTGGACAACAGAGGGGTAATGATCGCCCACACACACACACACTTTTATATAGGCACACAAAGCTTTCTTGATCAGCTGTGTTGTCATCTTCATCTTCATCACTCGCATCATCATTATCATCTTGCTTTCCTCCCCCTGCTATTAATACTGATAGTGATCCAGTCAGTCAGTCAGAATACCTCTGACTATCTGATATAGATTGTATTTCTTTTTACCATTTCGCTTTTATTCTATAGAAATACTTCTATTGTGCATGCTAATCTTTGTACTGCGGTCTAAGTTATATGTTACATTACTACTAGCGTAACGACAGAAGACAAGGACCAGGCAACAGATCGTATACTGAGAAAATCAACAGATATTTATAGATTTTTATGTACATTATTATTAGCGTTATTATTAGCAGAGAAGCAACGTATTCTGATTGGTTGTTGTTTTCCTGCTGAAGATTATTCTATCATCTCTTTGTTGCCACTTCTTAAACAGTCCGGTGAAATATCTGTGAATCGTATCCTCCCACGTTAAGTCTGCTGTGATTGGTTGTTTTTTCTCATGACCCTGATTCGGGGACGTAAACACTTGCGTAAATTGTTGTCTGCCAATTTTGGCTTGCAGACAGTTCTCACCGCACTAGTGCTTTTGAAAAGGAATCGGCAAGCTTGAATTCATGTGCCACTGAATCCCGATTAAGTATCTGTGAGAATAGTCAATGAAGTCACCTGGTAACCTGTAGGTCCCCAGGATAGATAGATAGATCCCCGATGGAGTAATGAGTGCGTACTGATGAAGAGTCCCGAACTAGGAGAAAACAGCTGTCCAGTATTCAGATGCTCTCTAACCGATATCAACTTGTGATTAGGCATGATAACCAAAGTGTTTGTTTTTTTTAAATCCATTTTTACAGGCAGAAGCTTATGAATATATGACAACGTATACAGAAGTGGTAGCACGAGTTGGTCGTACAGAAAATGTTCTCGGTTGGTATCATTCACATCCAGGATATGGTTGTTGGCTATCTGGTATTGATGTTAGTACACAGTTGACTAATCAAACTTATCAAGAACCATTTGTTGCTATTGTTATTGATCCAATTAGAACAATATCTTCAGGAAAAGGTTAGTGTATATGTTTATGCACCTATGGTTGTTGGTTCATTTGAAAAGTGACTGCAAGTTATTTTCGAGAGGAAATTTACACTATTTATAATGTGTCTGTTCTGGGATATGTTGTTTTTAAACACACTCAGGGCACGCGGATGGTTATTACCCAAAGCTGTTTCGTTGGAGATGGCTAGGATATGCGTTTTGTCCTTCTAGGTGAAGACGCTGACAGGATGCTGAGTCTTCTGATTTCCTTGAGCTGCAGTCTGCGAATTTTTGGCATGCGATTCGCTCCCGTGAAATGTGAGTTGATGATACAGGACTGGACTACAGTGATTCTTAGCGGAGAGATTGGGAGTGAAGTGGTAGAGCGTGTTAGCCACTTCACTTATTGTTTGGGAAGTTGCATCAGCCAACGCCAGCGGTTTGATCGTTGACGAAATCTCAGCATGAACACAGAAGACCTGTTACTCATATGCCAGTTTACGCCATCTCTGGCTTAGTAGAGGTGATATTCGGCTGGCTATCGATCAAAGGATGTGTGTACTACACATCAGTTCTCCCCATCCTCCTTTATGGCTGCGAGTGAAACATGGCCATTGAGAGTGAAAGAAATGAAAAGGCTGACTAGATGTCTTTGACCATAGGTGTCTGCGTTCTTTCTCCCGTGTTAAGTGCAATAAGGAGATTAATATTGAGGTTAATGCATCGAGTGCTGAGTATGGAGGAAAAAGCAACCGACAAGATTGTGAAGCTATATCGATTGAGTGAAAGATGGTTAGAACCTTTGTTACGCATGCGGAGTCATCGCCTTCCTCGATGGGAAATGTCAGCTGACACAGCATGGATCAGGTTTTATAAGAGCCAGTGATGGTTGAACTACAACCATTATGGATTCATCAGTCAATGAAATCCACAACAGTTAGTTTAAACCAGCCACGTAGGAAGGTGTAGACTTCCTGACTAGTTGGGGTTTTCCGAATGGTAAACACCAACGACTGGAGAGAAATGGTGATAAGGTTCAAAATCGTTCTCAACGGCACAGATGTATTCACTCCTTGTGACTTGTAATACCCAATAAAACTATATTGTTCTTCGATATTACTATTCTTTTTGCCCCTTGTCTGTGTTTACTGTCTGTATTTTGCATTTCTTTTTACTTTCTTTCCTGGCTTTGTTTGCTGAGTGAAGTGTGGCGACTCGAACTGCTGCACATCGGTGCAAAGTTCTATGCTAAATCCAGTCAGTTATTTGCAGTTGATAAGTTATAGGTCAGTGTACAGTTTTTAATATACTTCCAAGTATTCGTTTTGTAGGGATTTCGTTTGGTTGGCGATGGCTAGGCATGCGTAACACATGTTCTAAACATCTCACTAAATCGATATAGCTTCACAGTCTTGTCTATTGATTTCCCCTCCTTACTTAGCACCCTATTAAACCACTTATTTTTTTTCCTTCACGTTCCCAGTGGAACATAGGGCTCCAAGCTAGTGGTTTGAAGTTTCTTTAGCAGTGTTTATTTTACAGAATGGGGTTGCCCAACCTTCCCTCTTTACCAGCATTATTTCTGGCTTAACAAGGTAGGGGAGTGTGTCGGTTGGGGGTCGAACCCCGGACCATGTGTATGGTCGGCGAACGTCCTAACCGCTATGCCACCGACACCCACTTAACATGGGAATATTTATCAAAGATTATAGGTAGTATGCGGCTGACGAGATGCACTAACGAAATAAAATGGGCATATTTTATTCTTTTCTCCAGTGTCTGTTCTTTCTCTGCTCAAATATTCCTGGTTGGTCTAACTACTACTCATAATAAATCAACTCTGTAGATTATAAGTATCATGTGAATGAAAATCTTCAGTTCACCTTGTAACGATCCGAAATGTTTGGTTTTCCTTTCTTTTTTTTCTTTAGTTAATCTTGGTGCCTTTCGTACTTATCCAGTTGGATATCGACCACCGGATGATGGTCCTTCCGAATATCAATCAATACCGATGGATAAAATTGAAGATTTTGGTGTACATTGTAAACAATATTATTCTTTAGAAGTGTCACATTTTAAGTCGATTTTAGATAAACGACTATTAGACTCATTATGGAATAAATATTGGGTGAATACTTTGAGTTCAGTGAGTATACTTGCACAACCGGATTATTTAGCTGGTCTGACAAAAGATCTTGCTGAGAAAGTTGAACATGCTGGATCTGCAGTAAGTCTGTCTTTTTTCTCATCAATGAATATGGTTTTATTATTATTATTATTATTATTATTATTATTTATTGTTCACATTTTTCCACATACATTCTGAATAGAAGCTAAGGCTTCAGGGGTACATCTTGATTCGACGTGGCTAACTGTCAACTAGCTCATCATTGCCTTCCAGCTTTCATTTCCTCACTTCCATGCCACTTATGGATGTGCAACTCGTCGCTTTGCATTCAGGTTTCACTCAATGGTTCGTGTGATGTGTGATTTCACTGAAAGACTTTTTTCAAGTATTGGTGGTTTTTGTAGGGATTTTTTTTTTGACTGGTTGAAGGATTTTCATCATGAGTTGACATTGGTTAGAGAACCATTGGAAAACCAATTGGGTGTACCGGACAGCTGTTTCGTCCTAGTTCGGGACTTGTAAGGCGAGGTGGCTCGTAGACCACTAAGTCATTGGAACCCGATCCAATGGCCATCCCATGAATTCTAACTTCTGTCAATTCATGACATAGCGCGACCACTTTGCGATGTTTTCTTCGATGAGTTGCTGCCTCACCTTCAACCTGCTGCACTCTACTGGTCACAGCTTCCTACTAGAACCCCAGGTCTGCCTAAATAAGACCAGCCGCTAGTGAGCACCAGATCTACGAGCTTGCCTTGTAACCAGAAGGTCCCGGGTTCGAACCCCTGTAATGGGTGTGTACCTGTGAGAAGTCCCAAAGTAGGACGAAACATCTGTCCAGTACTCCCAGCTAGTTTTCCGATGGTTTTCTAACTGATGTCAGTTCATGATAAAATCCTCCAATCAATAAAAAACTTTTTCAAAAAACGGTAACATCCACGGTGCTATTTAGTTGTGTGTTGAAGACTGATGCTTCCAAAATAGTGAGATATTGACCACTTGGACATCCCCTAATGTGGTGCATGTTTGGTAGGTTTTCTTCTCGACATGAGTCGATATAGGCTTTTTTGGATTTGCCTAAAATGAATTTCTGTCACTCTATACCCTTGTGTTGCATTGGTTCCTGAGTTCCAGGTGTGTATGCCTCATGGTCGTCACTCTGATTCCTGAAGAGTTGCCATGTAAACCAATATTTTCCACTTTATTTGCAGAATACACTGTATGCCTCTATTCGGCCATCATAAGCACGTTCTGGAATTTTTGGTTTTCTTCAAACAGTCACTTATAAGAACTTCTTACAGGATTTCATCATGAGCTGACATTAGTTAGAGAACCATTGGAAAAGTAGCTGGGAGCACTGGACAGCTGTTTCGTCGTAGTTTGGGGCTCTTCATCAGTACGCACCCACCGGGATTCGAACCCAGGACCTTCTGGTTACCAGGCGAGCTCGTATACCGTTAAGCTACTGGGACCCGATTCAATGGCCCATGAATTCTAACCTCTCCCAACCGGATGGACCCAGGTGGTCACGGCAACAGTTTTGAGCCATATCATTAATTATCTCCAGTCACTGGTTCTTAGAATCCCGAGGACCGTAACTAAGAAGCCGGTCTACATTGACTGATGATGCTTTGACCACCACTAGCTCTTTTTCAACTTGATTCTATATCAGCTAGCATTGTTTTTCAAGGAAGGCAGTAGCTAGGCATGCGTAACACGTCCTAGCCATCTCAAACGATGTAACTTCACAACCGCATCGATTGACTTACTCTCCTTACCTAGTATTCGACCGACGCCTAACCTCAATTTTACTCACCTTATTTTGCGTCGGTGGCACAGTGGTTAGAACTCTCGCCGACCATGCACATGGTCCAAGGTTCGATCCCCTGCCGACGCACACCTAATATTATCCATGGTTGGCCTACAAAATTTTATCTACCGATATCCATGCTGAAAATTCCACACTTGTACCAAAAAAACGATGTGGAATCAAGCTGTAATCAAAAATGACAATGAAATAAAAAATAAAATAATACCACGTAGCATTGGAGATAGAGCGAAGTCGCGTATATTCAATGGCCATGCCTCACAGTGATAAAGGAGGACGGAGCGAACTGCAGAGTAGTATACACGTCTTCTGATCGATGGCTAGATATCAAGTCTACGGCAAAGATGGCGTGAATTAGCAGTTGTCACACCAGTCTTTTTTATCTTTACTGAGATTTCTTCAGCAATTATCCCTATGGAGCTAATCCAGCCTCTCAAGTGGTCAGCACACTCCACCACTTGACTCCTGCATCACATCTCACCTACATTGGACAGGAGTGATTCGCAAGCCTAATATTCTAGGAATTTTTGCCCAAGGTGTTCAAAAGAGTTTACTTTTTGTCACCGTCTTCACCTAAGAGGGAGGACTATGTGTCATTTGCATATTCATTCTAAGTCAATGCGATTATTATCGATGCAATTAATAACTTGAGCTCTTTCTCACATGAGGAATGCGTGTTTGTTCCAATCCACGGTTGTATTGGTATCTAAAGTTTAACATCACCCTTGTATAACTAATTGTATTTTTCTGGTTATTGCATTTACTATTTTTCTCTGTTTCTTCTTTCTGTTAAATCCCTTTTCACAGATGTGTCGTATGAACTGGGACAGTGATCGGTTGGAAGATCGTTTAGCCAAATGTAGTAAAGACGCGACAAAATTAGCTATGGAACAGTTACATGCATTAACTGGTCAATTTATTAAAGACAGTTTATTTAATAAAATCTAAAGTAGCTTTTAATTGTATATTTGTGTTTGTTTGTGTGCTTTACTGACGATGATTATGATAAGTGTAACTTGCACATGCATCTAATAAAGTTTCAGATTTTTATGTTATTTTTCCATTTTGTTATGTCAATATTCCCAGGTACATAATAATAATAATAATAATAACAATTTGCTTTATTCTAGAAACAGTACTAGTGGTACAGTGTGGAATTTTCAGTACATATCTACAATATTGCATCTAATTTCATCGCACATTTAAAAGGAGTATTACAAAAACTAAATATAAAAAAACAACGACAAGAAAAAACACGAAAATAACAAAAAATTAAAAAATACCAAAAAGTAGAAAGGAAAATAAACAACAATAATAAATAATACTTCAGTATTGGGTAATGGAAGCTATGATATGTTTATGTGTGGTGAACAGTAAAGGCTATAGTCATACAAGAAGTTATGGAATGTTATTAGGCATGTTTATCGCCAAGATGATCAGTTAATTTGATTGAACAACACTAAACAATCATAAAATAAACATTTCAGGGTTTTTTATTGTCAGCACTAATGCGGTATTTGTTGTGGTAGTGTGAGTAATCATGCATAATACAAAAATTTTTAAGATGGCGATAATGGCGTTCACAACCAAGATTGTCAGTTAGTATTGCCGAACAAAACAAACAATCACAAAACTAATATTACATGATGGTTAATGACAGGACAATTTTGTAATACTCATAGTGATAATATAGTCTTCGGAACCAGTAGATACACAAAAAAAGGAATAGAATAAAGTACAAAAAGTAAGCCAATGATAATAATATTAAGTAGCTAAGTATGTTTAAGAAGGCGTTCAGTATAGAATACAAATAAGAGAGAGATAAAAGAGCCAAAATCATGGTATTAACAACAAAGCAAGTCATAGGTTTCGCGCTTAACATTGTCTCGTCTCTGTCACTTAGAACACGGGCTGGCCAAATATGGTATCGTCGAGTTCCTATACTTGGTTGTACGAGCATATATTATTTTGTACTGATTTCTGGTTTTACCTGATGAGATGCAAGAAGAGAGTTGAGAATAGAGGGGGTGGTGTTAGGGGTTTGGAGAGTATGGTTTTAGACCATTTTTCGCATGTATTCAGATACCTTTCTACTAATGTAGTGAGTTACGAACTGACTGAGTTTTACACCACTAGTCCTACTAACTACCTTCAACATCCTTCTCAGGATGGTATAGTCCTTTTTCAGTAACCCAGGAAAGACTAACGGGAGCAGTAAAGTAGAATAGGTAAGATACGAGAGTTGACAAATTATGAAAGTAGAGGTTGGGTGATTCCAGATAGTCTAAGTTTCTTAACGTAGTAGGTTAGACGGAACACTTTCTTGGAAATCGTTAGGATTTGTTACCAGTAAGTTTCCATTCGATTGATCTTGATTTCGAGTCCTGTTTCATCCACTTCAACCTAGATCACATACACACAAGAAGTATGCCGCCTTGTGGTTCACATGAAAACATTTATTGAGGGTTGTTAAATTCAAACAACAAATAATCATTTGCAGTAGATAGAAAAGTTTGGTTTCATTGACTTTAGACATTTGAGAATCGCGAATTCAAAGACACTGTCATCTCTGATCAACTAACTGTATAGGATGATTATTATTAATAATACACAAACGTAGTACTGTGGTGAAAGTTGTCTGCAAGCCGAAAGTGTAGACAACAGTTTACGCCAATCAGTGTTTACACCCCAAATCAGGGTCATAGAAAAAACAACTACAAAGCTTAACCTTAAGAAAATCACAGCGGAGTTAAAGTGTCGAAATACGATTCACAGATATATGCCTTGATTTTTTGAGAAACGGCCACAGAGAGATAACAGAATAACCTTCAGCAAGGAAACAACCAATCACAAGAGATTTCTCTCCGTCAATAATAAAGTGCATAAAAATCTATAAATACCTGTTGATTTTCTCCATAAACGGTCTGTCTGGCTTAGCCCTTGTTTTCTGTCGTTACAGTACAGTGGATAAATGCTGGAAGCTGACTACACACAACTATTTAGGATATGTTGTGGTGGTGTGATACAGACAATGTGTTCCAACGGAATATTATGCTCACGTATTCCCACACTTCAATATTGCATTAGCAAAAGATTACTTACTGTATTTTAACTTTCTATTTCATGTTGTTTTCAATGTAAGCCAAAATTACACACTCAGTGATTGGTTAGAGAATATAAGACTATATATATAGCGTTTTCATCACGTGAAAATATACCTTGGCTTCTGCGTCTCGCCTTCTGCTGTTACAATGTGTCCATGCGGAAGATCTTACCGCTACAGTGTTAGTCAGCACATGGAATTTTCGGGGGGGGGGGGTTACCTTTTCTAACACCCCTAACTTCCGACAGCGTAAAGACAGTTTGTAGATGGTCTACTAGTTGTTTGTAGGTTACACCTTACTTCTGCTACATGCATATTCGCCAGTAGCAAGGCACCACCCTCAGATCCTTGATTTCATGCAAATGGCTAATAGCCTTTCGAATGATCTGTCTGACATGGTGGAGGTTGCAAGAATATTTTTTCTTGCCCTATGACCACATCAAGATGGCATTATATTTGATCGGATATATCCCTATTATCGATTCAAGACAAAAATTATCAGGGCAAATACGTGTTTCCAATAATTTCAGAATCTTGAGTTGTAAATGTGGAATCATCGGAAGGAAAGCCTAACTAAACTTAATTTTGTCATCCCCTTTCTACGTTACAATATAAAAATGAGTAATTGGTTTCAATTATTTCTTAAACATCATTTAAAATGCTGTATAGGAATTTTTATGTACATAACAAGAACTACTTCTCATTAACGGTTAGTACCAATATGAAATCTCCATCAAAGATGGATATGTAGACAGTCAGTTATCGATAACATTAGCTAATGATTACAATCATTAATGAATTAACTCGAATTGGAAGTTGTAAAGTGTCACTAGCTGAAATATGTATAGTAAATTAGTCATACTGATACCCCTAGTCTCAACACCTTATGAAATGGTGAGCGTTCACTAGTGTAGCCTGAAGCTGAAACAAAGAGGATATCTTGCTTTCTGACAGTTTTAAAACACTCGTTTGTTAGTTGTTGAAAAAGACTTCCATATTAGTTTGTTTATTAGATGTATCACACAGTGAAACAGTATTACTGTTTACTGGATGACACGGTTTCGAAAAAAATTTATTATTCATAATTATCCCATCAATTATAATCACACGACTTTGAAACATGAGTTTTATAGCTTTCTTTGTTCTATCCTATTTTGTCGTCGTTGAGGTAGTAGAATTTTCCAGATATCCGGCTGGACAGGTGATGAATCATTCCTATTACATGTATTTGCAGTTGTTTCGATAAACAAAGCTTCTGTTATCAATCTCTCCCTCCACCCTGCTGCTACATTAGATTTTAAAACTGTCATTTTATCCCATCCATCCTATTGTATGGTTGTGTGTAATTGCATGTGGTGAAGTGCTATAGCTGAACTATTCTCTAGATTTCTTATCTTATTCGGGTCAACCGATCCAGACTTTGGTAGGTTTTTATGTTCGGCTAGTATGACTCACTGCTCCTGTTCTACTACTTTGACCCATGTATTTGACCTGACACTCGTTAGAAGTATACAATTAATTTAGGCTTATTTTGAGAAGAGTGTGACACTTTAATTAGGAAATATAAAAATGAGACAGTACACTTCATGCACCTCTTTTATGCCAACCATTAAACCATTGGTTACCCACAAGAACACGTTTTATCCTCTCTTAGTGTGGCGTGTGCTACTGATCAGATTTATCAGTAGTATAAAGTAAAATGCATAAAAACATCATATAGTAGGGAGATGTCATAGGAACTCAAAGAAACACCATATGAAGGCCAGAAGTAGCACGGTAACACGGAAGATCTGTGTAAACGGTTTGTTTGAAGGAAAAGTATATAATTTCGCTACTTCATGCTACTTGAGAACAGTCAGCTGGATGTCTCGATAATCCCCAATGAGTGCTGTACTTCTGTTGAAACTCCAACGCAGCACCTGTAGTCGCATGCGCCAACGATTCATCCATTGTGCTGTGGCAGTAAGTCTCAGTCTCAATGGGAATACCTACACGCATTTCTAGCATACATATACGTTCAACTGATGAGTCGTAGAGAGGACGAAACATTCATTCTAAATATCTCTGATAAACATCAGTCAAACCAATTACAGTGATCAAAAACTTTATTTTTTTCAACTTATTATCGTCATGTGTATTTCAAATTGATTTATCGATGAACCGGACGAGATACAACAATCATGTTAGACATTAAAAAAGAGTAACAATATGACAAAAAAGAGCAGGTGTCACGTTGTCTTGCTCGACACATTGTCTTCATTGATAATCATTAGGCAATATGCCTAGTGACAATAATTTATCTGGTAAATATTCATGCGTTAAATATCTTGTATGAATTGAATTTAAAGCTTCGAGTTCTGCTTTCTTTTCTGTAAATAATAAATGTCTTATCTATATTGGAAATAAGAATGAATTGATGACTTTCACACTATATATATATACACTTGCCTGTTTTAGTAATTGAGGTTCATGTTGAATATATTCACGTTTTTGCATTGTTTCTAATAGAGTTTTATCATTCTTTGTTATGGATAAAAGTTGTGTCTCTTTAATAGGAACACTAAAGTAAAATAAGTATTATTATTATTATTGTTATTATGAAAGTATGAATAATAACTTACGATGATGATATTTCACTTGGAAGTAGTCCACAAAGTTGTAGATTTGGTATTCTCACTGGATTTCCTTTTGCATCTTTCATTGTTGGATTCTAGATTGTAAAAGAATGTAATAAATATTACCTTACAGATCTCTGAATTTATTCATCTGTCAACGACCTCATCTGAAGTAAAGATAACCAAGAGTATTTGTCGGGGGGGGGGGCTGGGGTAGGGTGGTGCAATGT